AACGAAGATGGTGTGTATCAATATTGTTGGCAAATATTGTAAATTGACTAAAATATCGGCATATATTTAAATATTAAATCCAAAATACAATTTAACTACTAAATTTAAATTATCAGTTAACTCAGCTTAGCACTGTTCGAAATTCTAATACGTAACAATATTCTTTGACTTTTTGCCGAGTAACACAAGACTGGAGTCGGTTTAACGTTGATATTTTATGTAGCTATTTCGCTTCTATAATTAAAATGAAATTATTTCAAGCTTTTGAGACAAAGTTAAGCGACCTTATTACCGAACCTTGTCATAACTGATGAAGTATGTCACGATGTACAAACTGTTAGAAGAAATGGCACGTGACAGAATAACGCCTCCTGTACTGAAGTGATAAAATATAATTATTTTTGTTCACAAATCTCTAAAAAATACAACTACTACTCAACTTCGTTCATAGTTCAGCCATTTTGTCGTCGTGAGTTTGTATAAGCTATACCCTTAACTATTCTTTTTTTGTTTATACAAGTAGAATATATATTTGTTAAGATAAGAATTTCTGATTGCGTTAGAAAAAGTACACGTATACATTATAAATTTGAGTGTAGCATATATTGCACTTGATAATTTTATTTACAATCCACATCTTGTTTGATCAGACCTGGTTTCAGTCGACAGTACCAGTTCAGCATACTGTATCAACATTCAGTTAAGGAAAGATCAAACAAATCAAGCATTCAAAGAACAAAAGGGTGTGTTTTTTCGCAGCAAAGCGACAATGGGCTATCTGCTATGTCCACGGAGGGGAATCGAACCCTTGACTTTAGCGTTATAAATCCGTAGATTTACCGTTTTAACAACGGAGGATGCAAAGAAGGGCTTCTTATAGCATTTGTTTTTAACGGAGACTTTACCTGTGATAGGAAATATTTATAGTGTGCATGTATCAAAATATATCTTTCTTTGTTTAATACTTAATGGGACCGAGGGTGGCCTAGTGGTTAATGTGGCGAGCTGTATGCTCGAGAGTCCACGATACAAATCCTGTTGCTTTAAAATCTCGCACCGCAAGGGGAATGTGAGTGCGTGATAAGAGTGACGTCAAATCCCATTATGCAATTACAGCATCACAAGAGTTGCTTGTGGTTGCTGTTGTTTAGCTGCCTTTCCTCTAGTCCAGTGTTTCTTAACCACCGGTCCGTCATAACCAATTTTTCTGTTCGTAAACAAGCTTAGCAAGATGTTACAATGTAGTGCTTAAGATGCTAATAATTATCCAGAATTGGCCTCTTTCTATGATATATTTTGGTTTTCTACAGAAATAAGATATCCCACTGAAACAAACGTACAAAAGTTGAAATAATATTCATATGTAAATCATAATGGTTTTTCGTTGAACTTGCATTTAAGTAGTTCGCGGCCCCTCAGTGGCACAGTGGTATGTCTGCGGACTTATACTGCTAGAAACCGGGTTTTGATACCCGTGGTGGGTAGAGCACAGATAGCCCTTTGTGTAGCTTTGTGCTTAATAACAAACAAGTAGTTCGCGACAGTTTAGGGAAGTAGAGCTCTGGTTCCAAAAAGATTGAGAAACGCTGCTCTAGTCTGTCACTTCAAAATTAGAAACGGCTAATACAGAAATTTCTTCAGTAGCTTTGCACAGATTTTTGAAGCGCAGTGGGTTATCTGCGCTCTGTCCGCCGCGAGGAATCGAATCTAGATTTTAGCATTGTAAGTCTGAAAAGTTATCGCCGACTACCCGGAGGACTATTCGAACCAAACAAACAAACAATATATACCTGTATATTGCAGTCATCCTTAGTTAACTAAGATGATAATTAATCAAAATTAAAAAGTACATTAATAAGAAAAAAAATTTCGCCACAATGATATATTACATCTACTTTTGTATTTATCATATACTTAAACGTAGCTAGACTTTCATCACAAAATATCTATAACATGAAAATGTCAACATGTCTTATCACAATGTCAACAAACATTACTTCTTTTTATTTCAATTATAGATAGGTTTCGCTAAATTATTAGGAACGGTTCTGCACGCTTTCCCGCGCAATGGACAAAGCGATAGCCCTCTTTGTAGGGCCTGGCATGGCCAGGTGGTTAGGGCACTCGATTCGCAATCTGCGGGTTCGAATCTCCGTCACACCAAACATGTTCGCCCTTTCAGCCGTGGGGGCGTTACAATGTTACGGTCAATCCCACTATTCGTTGGTAAAAGAGTAGCCCAAGAGTTGGCGGTGGGTGGTGATGACTAGCTGCCTCCCCTCTAGTCGTACACTGCAAAATTAAGGACGGCTAGCGCAGATAGCCCTCGTGTAGCTTTGCGCGAAATTCATAACAAACCCTCTTTGCAACACTCTTGTTTATCCAATTGCTTAAATTATTAAGTTCAACATGGACAGAGCTTTGTAAAAAAAAGTCACGAATATTGTATAAGTGATGCCGGCAAGGTAAAAACATTAACTTAAGTTAATGTTGATATTTTGCATGATGATTATGAAAGAATTGTAAGCTACATCAGGAAATAATTAGTTTACTGTAGAAAATATTGAAAGTTTCAGTTTGTTTCTCTAATAAAATATAAAACAAAGAAAAAAGGTTTGTTTGTAATTAAGCACAAAGCTACACAATGGGCTATCTGTGCTCTACCCACCACGGGTATCGAAACCCGGTTTCTAGCGGTATAAGTCCGCAGACATAGCGCTGTGCCACTGGGGGCCAAAGAAAAAAGATTATCAATCATGACACAAGTAAAATTAAAACGTATTTTAAAGACGTAATTTTATTTATTCAAAGTATAAACGATCACAAGTACCACCCCTTACCCCCAAATACATGTTCTAATCATTCTATATAGTAACCATTTCGACGTACACTATACGTTGAAAAGTTTTGAAACTGTTCTCGAGATTGGAGATGATATAAAAATTAACACGCTTATAATAAAGTTTATAGATTATAACAAAGACTAAATCATGTAACTGATACATACAAATGCAAACATTATCTAATAATTTTCCCGAAACATTAACTAGATTTATCAAAGTGACCAAATAGTAGCCCAATAACAACTTTATAAATTAAAAATAACTTGGATATTTCATACAACGTGGTCGAGAGATCATGGTTAGGGGCTATTTTGTTATAATAGACCAAGAGATTTATAGTCGCAGGTACAATGCGTAAATAATTACATTTCACTTACTTAATCTATTGATAGTTGGTACCATAACAACTGTTGTTCGTGACACTGATGATATAAATAGTACCTAGACCACTGTTATGTCTGTCGTATCTCAGGTGGCCTGATTAGTCCTGGTATAGGGCGAAAGAGTTCGTCGGCACTAGGTATGGCAGATGCAGTATGGGTGACACATCATTATATATTCTTTTTTGCTTTCCACTCTTAAGTTCTGAAAAGTACGGTGTCCTACAAAGATACATCGTACCTTCTGGTGTTAGAAGTACTACCGAAGTTTCATTTTCCAATAGGAGAACGATCCGGGACATACGTCTAAACTATGTTTTAGCTCTATTAACACAACTTACGGAATGAAATCAATACACATGTGAAACCTATGATGAGAAACAATGTAACTCGATTATGTCAATTTATTCAGTCTGGAATTCTCTAATATCTGAACATTTTGATAAGCTTACTGACAGAGTAATGCGAATACGCAGAGCTGTTATTAAGACTAAAATATTTTAATTTGATTAATCTAATATTAAAGTGAAAATTAATAGTTTATGGTCGCTTATGTATGAGCCCAATTAAATATTTGGCATTTGTTATTATACTAATCAGCAATTTTCATATATGTGTTTATATTGACTGTATCTGCAACCCGAAATGGCGGCACCGAACAAACTTTGAATACTGTTCTAATTCCAGACAAAGGTATACTTGTATGATAATTTTTCTTTTTCCATTATATAATATTATGCCCTTGCGTTATTTAAGTGGGATCATTTATTCCAGTAAGGTCTGGTAGGAGAAGAGGTTTTGGTTTCTTAATATTAATTCAACACCTTACGAGTATGGCATTACCAGATTCAATATGATGTAGTTATATCTCATGGATAAATTCTGTAATTGCAATTACTATTCGATATAATTCCTCAGATTTCTAATTTATGCTGGGTGCAAGACCATCAATTTGGCGAATAAACTGTTGTTTATCTTCATATATACACGATTTCTATTCATTTCTATCAATACTTCTTGAACCTACGTGTTTTTCTAACATCATGATAAGATTTTCTCAATAACACATTTGACAAAGACATTAAAGAATGAAAAATTCAAAGTAGCACAAAAAACTAGTCGCAAGAAAACTCTTTTATAGATAGACAGAAAAAAGTATTACTAATTTTATTGGATTTCTATCTATGAATTTAAACAAGTTTAATGTGAACTGTATTCTAGTTTTGCTTAGGTATTTACATGGGAGCGAGAGGTTGAGGAAATGCAAATTAATTCTAATCTTGTCTACCAAATTTTTTCACAAACTGACTTTTCGTGGCGATTTTAATTTCTGTATTCAAAAAGCAATTTGTTTGATTCTGCTGCCATCAATATTCAAAATAGTTTTTGTCTGTTTACTCGGACGCAAAAAAAAGCAGTATATTTACAAATATACGTAAATAAAAAGTCAAAAATAATGATTTCTAAAGCTTAAAAATCGTTTTAGTTCAGTCTTATTTCAATGTATGGAATGTAAGGTTTATTTTTCCTCATGTAGAAGTTTAATGTGATAATAAAAGCGCTAATAGATGATCAATGCCATGTCAGAACCCTTATTTTTCCAATATATCTCAAATTACAAACAAAAATCATTTTGTACCAATTGTTGGATTACAGAAATGCTATCCGATAGGTTTGACACATTATTATATTAGTGGTTATATTTAAATATCTATTTGTAGCTTTCAACTTCTGTTTAAAAAAATCACCAAGGTAATATTGCACATTTTATTTTATTTTTGTATGGTTTCGACACAAAGTTTGATTTCACCTCTACACTGGACCAGGCGTTGACAAACGTTAAGCACAAAGTCTGATTTCACCTCTACACTGGACCAGGCGTTGACAAACGTTAAGCACAAAGTCTGATTTCACTTCTACACTGGACCAGGCGTTGACAAACGTTAAGCACAAAGTCTGATTTCACCTCTACACTGGACCAGGCGTTGACAAACGTTAAGCACAAAGTCTGATTTCACCTCTACACTGGACCAGGCGTTGACAAACGTTAAGCGTGCCCGAACTACGAATCCGAGGATTTGAAGTTCGCAATTTATTCCGTAAAGATGAGCTCCACACTTTTGAGGCCGTGGATGTGCTATAAGAGTTACAATTAAATTCCATTATTTGATCAGGCTTGAGGAGCTTAACAGTTGGCGGTGAGTGCTGTTGGCTATTTGCCTTCCTTTTTGCGCATCAGTTCAAAATTAGGGATGGCTAGGCAAAAATAACCCTTGTTTATTTTTGGCTGAAATTCTGAGAAAAAAAAACTACATTATTACTTTCAAAGTGTGATTTGAAGTAATAAACGTAATATACTAGCAGGTGCCTGTTGAAACAATTAAACGGTAATTTTCCTAAAAATAGTGATGAATAAATAAAAAAAAAGTACAGTTAACCAAATGCCTTGGACCATAAGGTATGCGAAGTATAGTTGTCTAGTGGGCCATTTACAACTGTATTTTATCATTTCATGTGTTATTTCAATAAGGAAAATTGAAGTGTGTTTGTTTTTAAGCAAAGAAGACTGACTATAATGTATTGTCGGCAAAAAATGTTTGGGTTTTCATGCAGAGAGCTAAAGCTCGCTAAGTAGTCACGTGAATTTTTCCGCTGGATGCTACCGTTCCTTGTCACATTCAGAACGCAAGAAAAAAACAGCTATCGAAGTGAACACTTTTTGACAGTTGTCATTTCTATATGAAATGCCAAAAGGGAGATACTCAATTTAATTCATATACGTTGTTTTATACAAACTGAACAACAACAAATATTACGAAAACACATTTCTTTCTTTATACATTATTCCCATTCATGCTCCGGTCTTCTGAGTATATATTTCAATCCATCAACGGAGGAAATCCTTTTTTTGTTGTTGAAATTCCCTCACACACACACACACAAATAATTTGTTCTTGGTAAGTTTTCCTTCTCAGATTGACCATTAATCCCATATCAAAGTGATGGATCGATATGAAATTTTAGATATTATAAAAAAATCAATAATGTTCCTGTAATGTACTCTTGAAAATAAACATTTTAATATATATAACTTATTTTTCCTACGATTCAGGAGATAGAGGGTGACAGACATTTGTTTGGCTATTATATACGTAGAAAACTACGACGAGCTGAAATCGCACAGTCCTTTTATTGTAGTGTATTAAAACACTCTCATCTTTAAAATGAATCCTGGTAAAAATAATAAAAAAGCACCCATAGTAATGTCTCTAATGATAATTGTTTTTGATTGGTTTGATTTTGAATTTTGCGCAAAGCTACACGAGAGTCATCTGCACTAGCCGTCCCACTAGAGGGAAGGCAGCTAGTCAACACCACCCACCGCCAATTCTTGGCTACTCTTTTACCAACGAATAGTGGGATTGACCATCACATTATAATGCCCCCATGGGTGAAAGGGCGAGCATGTTTGGTAGGACGGGGATTCGAATCCGCGACCCTCAGATTGCGAGTCGAGCCCTCTTACCACCTGGCCATGCCGGGCCTCCAATGATAATAGTACCAGTAATAATGTGAAGTGTTAATAAGTTACAAATTAAAAATGGTACTACTAATAGTAATACAAATGGGAAAACTTTTATTACGTAAAAACAATTAACATACTAATTTCGTGTTATTACAGATACCATTTCTGTTTGGGAAGAAAGCTTCGCCCAATTGGAATTATTTTTATCAGGATTTATTGTATATATCACAATAGTATCAAGTGGTCGAATATAAGGATTCAAGTTTGATCCCATAACAGTTTTGCATTATAATATTGTTTTTTCTGCTTTAAATAACAGTTAGTAATAAACAACTATGTTAAAAAATGAGCAAAATTTATATTCTATTAACTAGTAGTTTTACTGTCCTAATTACATTCATGACCTACACAGATTGCAACATTTTTACTTTTTTACAGTCTGAACAAATTTGGTGCAATTAATCCAACAAAGTAAAATAATAACTTATGTAGCTGTTGTGTATGCCACATACTTGGAGAGCTAGAAACAGCAGGTCAAATGTGATTATGTATACTTATCATTAATTACACCAAATATAAGTAACATAATAGAATAATGTTTTACAAAGAATTTTTAAAATATAATTTTTTTTTTCTTTTGGACTAAGAATTAAGATATTTTTACTTTTCAATACTTTATTTTCAGCAAAAAGTACTGTTAAAAAGTTGCAAAGCTTTAATGTCTGGCATAAAAAAAGAGGTCACAAAAGTTCAACCGGAATGGAAGTGTTTTTAATTACAATGAACAAAGGTGAACAAAATGTTATTTTCCAAATATTACAAATCAATGGGAATAGAAATACTTTTACAACATAATACTTTAAGAAGATACATCTGAAAGAATTAAAGTGGCAGTTGTTTTAAAACGAAATAGAAAATTAGGATATTAAAAAAAACCTAGGCTATTAGAATATATTGTGGTATTTGACTCAAAGCTTGAGACCAATTGAGTGCATCTTTGTGGTAAAATTATCATATCCTTAAGATGCAAAAAGAAAGATCTAATAGGATCCTGAAATGGCTTAAGACAACCTAACCTACCTTTTTCATAGAAATTTTAACCTACAACCTCCTCAAAATACACACTATAACTGCTAGCATAATTCTAACAATTATGGAGGGGATATTTTTAGCCTTAATCATGGCATATTGAGCAGATTGAGATATTTGTGTGCAGGCAATTGCATGAGGCTTGCAAGACAAACAATACTGAAGCAGATGTAAGCTGGGAGAATGAAAAAACAGAATCAAGTTGTACAAGTAGTCATGAAAGCAGAATCCATGATACTGTTTGGACATATGATCCACCATGTTTGGTACAAGTTAATGTATTAACTTTAGAAGATCTCTACTTATAAGATATATTCTAGGTTTTTGTTTGATAAAAATTTGATTCAATACCATACTTAGTTTTTATACAAAAAAATAAACATCGTAAATAGTACCACTTAAGATGCCCTCCAATGGCACTAAATGCTTATAATTGTTGTGGTGGTCTGAGACTTATACACAATAGTTAAGACTATTTAGTGATTTAAATGATATGTTCTACTTTATATATTAAGAGAATCTAATGCCCTATAATGGCTAGATATGTGAATATTAAGACGTACAATCCATGAGGCTATGGAGACACACTTGCTCCACATTTGATAGCAATTAATGTATTGAAGTTTTATTACCATAACTCTTTAGCTGTTAACTTAAATATTTATTTGATTATTTTATAAGGAATATACGGAAAAAAAACAACAACTAATATTTCCTCCAATCTTTTATAGATGATGTAGTTGAAATGTAACACCAAATTGTTTTTTACTTTCAATCCACAATTATTTTAAAGAAAATATCTTGATAGAATAAAAACATATCAAAATTTGTCAGTACACCCCTATAACATGATACTGAACTATGTAAAAACCAGTGTCATCAAACATAACGATCTACTGAGCACATAGTTCCAAATAACAGTAAATCAGCATCTAAGAAAATTACAGAAACTGTACTGAGACAAAAAACAAAACAACAACTAATAGCAAGGTATAAAAGTAACATTCACAAAATGGATGAAAAATCTGAGATTTATTGCTAATACAATACATACATGCTGGGAGATAATTTAAAACATCACCACCAACTATGTGAAAATAAATATATCTCAAAGTGAAGCAACTTTAGCCACTAGTTCCATCATCCTGGCTAGTCACTAGCTTATACCTGCAGAACATCATGAAAAAAAAGTATTAAGTAGACTATTTCTAATACACAACTCAAAAATTATACTTATTAACTAACAGAAATATCTCCCGCATTACGTTTGCTTTTACTGAGGAGCTTTCAACAACTTGGTTAGTGTATTTCTGAGTAGGGTAAAACATGGTACTTCACTATAACCAGAAGCAGAGCTATTCTTTCAAGCAGAAGTATTCACATCCTTCCTATCATCTTTAAAACCAGTGATGTAAGTCAAGTTAAGGGTATGACACCAGATTATCAAAGTTTTCAGAAATATAGCTGCATTATTAAGTATGAAGATATGCATTTAACCTAACATCTTTAAAGCCAGAGATCTTAGGTTAGCATGTACTTTTATTCATTCTAACAATTTTTTTTAGTCCTGCTGAGAGCAGGGATAAGTAAATTTATACATCACATTCTAAGATTTCAAAGCAGAAATTCAGTCCTTAAATCTAAAAAAAAATTTTAGGTGACAAGTTCAAACACATACTTAGATGTATCTGTGGATACACCCCTTGAGTAAGATTTCTTAACAGATTTTTGATTACAACTTATCACGAAACTGAAGGATAACAAAGGACCTTTTGGTTCATTTAGGTCATCCTATCCATCAAATTAAACACTAAAAAACTCGAAGCTATCCATGCCTTTATCATTCAGTTATATACATCAAGCTTTCCCTTAAATTCTCTAAAATTAACCACATCTGAAAGTAACTCATTTCAAAGGTCAACAACCTTGTTAGAAAAATAAAGCTGCCTTAGCTGAAGATGATTCCTACTCTGCCACTTTATATCTATGTCCCCTAATCTTACCATTCTCACTGATAAATACAAAAAAAGATGATGCATCAATGCTATTAATTTCTTTAATAATCTTACACCTAAATCATATCCCTTGTAACTTTCTACTTTCAAGAGATCTTAACCTATCCTCATATGACAACCTTTCCATCCCAGGTATCATCCCAGTAGCCCTTTCCAACAACTGAATGTCCTTTCTAAGGTAAGGGGCCCAAGACTGAACACAGTACTCAAAATTTGATCTACATAATGACATTATAACTTCTTTAGACTTGCATTCAATATTACTGTAGGCACAATCTAAAATCCTATTTGCCTTGCCACTAGCAACAGCAGACTGTTTGGATGGCTTAAGAGACTGATGAATCAGAACATCAAGATCTTTTTCTTCGATAACACTGCTAAGGTTATTCCCATCAAAATTATAATCATAATTCATATTTTGATATCCCACATATATTAACTTGCATTCATTATAATTAAAAACCATCTGCTAATTATTCACCAAACTCATCAAATAATCCAAATCCT